ATGGAAGTGAGATGCACACAGGACTTAGACAAGATAAATGAATGGGTGGATACACGATGAATAGGTATATATACATGGACAAATAGGTGGATGTATACCTGTACTGCTGTGGGAATAACAGAAACTCTTTTTTCGCTTATTCTCAGGACTAGTTTATTGCCCAGAATTTAAAGTGACTGCGGCTGCCAAACTAATCGCCTTGATGGAATTTTTATTTATGGAGACAAATCTCTTAAAGCTGGATATACCACTGTGAGAAAGACCCCCTGTTTTCAAGATTAATAAAAAATTACTTATCATTGTTGAAGTTGACAATTTTGTTTACACTTACATCAAGTAGAAAGGGCAATTCAAGTGAGCAAAACAAGTGGTTGTCAAATGTCATCCATTACCAGGTGACAAGAGGGTTCGGACATCAACAGCTTTTCCTTCGCTTATTTCTTGTGCATAGTCAAAAAACTTGCTGTTAGGAATAGAATATATGCTGACCGACTTACCTGCGATAAAAAGGACTTTTGTACTGCAACATTTCTTAACTAGCCGATCATTAACTGCCCTCAACCATTTCACTCACTACCCGCATCAATTCACCATCTTGACATTCGCAACGCCTCATCTCCATGCGAGTTATAGCCCGCAGAACCAGTTGTTCTCTAAGCATTGTTTGCTTCCTATAAGCCGAGCGACTAGAAGGTGTATGGGAAAATTTTCTTCTAGGGAGACAGCAGCGATTGTCCTCATTCTTATAAGCTAGCTAAAGACCTCATTCCCTCTTCATTTCGCAACTCTCTGACAATTTTTCTCCAAAGCGCAGTAAGTTTTTTGTCTCGTTTGGGAAGAGGTGATGGGTTATTTAAAATCCGTACCATCTTATCTAGTCACTGCACACATCTACATCTCCTTCCACATCCAATTCATTGACTAATCCATCCCCGATTCACCTGTAAGTCACACCACCTCGAATATCTAATTCCACTCAGTAGTCAGTTGAATCTCTCCTTCTCAGTTCAACTTTCTCTTCCGTACGCGCGTTCTCTCAGTGGTTCCCTTTTATCTCCCCGACTATTCTGCTACGACACTTTCATCTGTCTAACCATCCTCTCTGAATCCATCTCGTATCCATTTTATATCCACTCATCCACCCTTCTGCTGCTATAATTTTCGCGAATTCATTCATCCAAACGTTGATTACTATCTCTTGTTTTCAATTTTCTATTTTACAGTACCATCCATCAAGGTCAGCGCTAAAGCTGAGGCAAAGCACAAATGACCTCATACTCATTTTGCATTACACGAGGTATTCAAGGCAACCCGGGACTCATAACTATCTTAATGGAGGCCAAAAGGAACCACTTTCAAGGCGTAAAAAATGGCACAGTGGTCTGCTACACTTATCCACTCATCCCATTGTTTGATCAGTGCTTAGCAGACAGAGAATTGTCAGTGTAACTTAACTATCCGTCGTCCATTCTGGCATTGTCAACTTCACTTCGTAATCTTTGGTGAAATACAGACCTGCGCATTTTCCCACCAGTTTGGTGCCTGCTCGATTTCGAGGTAGTTTTGTTTCGAAAGTGAAGAAAGCAGTTGTTCGTGAGCTTCCTTGTCAAGACGCTCCATCAGCTCGGTGTGGCAGAAGCAGCGGTAACATTCAGCTTTTTATACTGATTAAAAGCGAGAAGTAGTATTTGTCTCTAGATGATATTGAAGGATTAGAAGGATAGATATTTAATTCAATGACCCTATAACCAACTCAGAATGAAAGTAGGGATACTTCTTCGCTTACCTTAATCCGGCAGCGATATCCTACACTGGCGTTCCTCTTCAGTAGGTCAAAATTGCCCTCTACAATGCAATTTTGTCACGGAAAGGTTTTACGGCTTCCAAATTATGATTAACACCCTCTCCGCTAAAGTTTAGCAGGAAGTCAAAAACTCTTTGCCAAATAAAACCTTTCAAGGAGGGCTTTTGTTTCTAAGATGGAGAGCATTGAAAGAGTGAAAGACTTCTTTCAAGTACAGCAGGATATTGTCAGCGGCAAACACAAAAACTTCTTTTATCATTACTTAAGAAAAGGTTTTAGTTTGTAAAAACCAATCTTTTTTTCCTTATCTTTTGGAAAAGTTTTCTCGAAGCATACCTATTTTGTAATAAAAAATATTTCGGCGAAATTTTTTCCATTTAAAGGCACTTTCCAGATGCCAGATGGGATTATTCTCATATCTAAGAAGGTGAGCAAACTCTGTTTCCCCCTTAACACTCCAATTATTTGCAGAATCCCACATCACCACAATAACGAATGTCTTCCTTTAACAAATCTTCCCAATTTGAGGGGCCATTAGTACGCTTGCCTTTGTGGCCATCCATCAGTAGTCATTCACAGCGAAGTAATTAATCACTGGGCTTGTTTTACTCATTCATCATCCGTTCATCCATTCATCAACTATGAAGGTTGAGAAAAAAAAAATCAGGAGTTTTTCCACTAATGACTTCTCAAGTTTCCTACAATCTCCACTTCCCCGAAGTTGGGTCGAAATCATTCTTTAAAATAGTAAATCGGGTGACTCGAGGATTAGCCGTACCGATGGACTGACGTGTGTGCCTGTGCTGTGTGATGCATTAAAGCAGACCTTCACAACAGATCATGACAACGAGCCAACTTTTAAATCAAGCATGAATAGCTACCAATTCATCCAGCTATACACTTCAGTTGTGTAACAATCCAAAAACACTTGAAAGTGCTTGGTGGTGAACCAGTCTCTGTCGCTAATACCACCAGCCTCGGGGGAAAGCCTCATGAAGGAGGGTGATTTCATTTTACCTACTGGACAATAAATTCCAGTACATTCTTTGAACTAAACCAACCCTAGGAGTTGGCAGTGGGCAATGGAAATTCGGACGAAAAGAAAACGAAATGTATCAACCGTTTGCTTGGTTATCTATCTTCTTATCCACCTGCCTTTAACAAACCAATGAAAGCCTCTCAAGCTGTTGGAGCATTCATCCACAAATTTATCCAACCATTAACTTGTCCACCTTACAGTCTGTTACTCTTTAAATCAAGGATCAGCTCTCCACGGCGTTACTTAATTACTTGATGTCCAATCGCATCCTACCTGGGAACCCAATGCATCTGACATTTCTCCTGCTGACCAAAACAAACAGAGTCTGTCGGCCCTTCAGTAATGGCGTAGCTTCATTACACCCGTACTTCTGTTTGCACATCTGAACGTTGGAAAATTACCATCGTCTATGCTTCTCCATAAAACTCAGGAAATTCGGTGTCATTAATGTGGTGCGTCCCTCTGTACTGGTTTACAAATCATGCGATCAAAAGTTTGGGCGGTTCTCAATACCTCATGATCTGATGACTTGCTGATGAAACCTGCAGGGAATGGTTAAATAATGGGATTGTTTATGGGTATGCGTTACATAGCATATGCCTCAGTCACTCGGTACAGCCCTCTTTATTGTGCTCTCCTCTATTTTCCCCTTACTATTAAACATCTGGTCTCACCATGTCAGTTGAATTTGAAGGGTTAAGAGAGGGCGTGAAGGCAAAATCCACTATTTAAAATGGAATGATCTAGAGAAACGGGACCTGGTGACAAATCTGCGGGATGGAAGTGGAGAGAAGGAGAGGGAGGGAGAGAGTTATAAATTCCTTGAATTAATTTTGTTTCTTTTGAAATACTTTAGTTGCTTGCGTAGCCCTTGGTTTGGGTACAGGGGCCACTTAGGTGCCCCGCTATTGTATGTTCTTCGGGAGACCTGGCCCTCGGACCATGTCAGCCGTCTCAAGCCCTGCTATGTGTCAGCAGCGCATGCACTGCCCGAGTATTATGCCTTTTTTCGTCTTCAAGAAAGTCTCTGGGTGATGCGTTAATTAATACAGAAAACGAACTCAGTCTTAAAGGACAAACACTCCCATTCCTACTGCTGGGTGAAAAAACCTGACGGGACAGAAGAAGTGTTCTAGCTGCAAAAATGGGGGAATCGGTTACAATCTTTAACGGAAGGGCTGAAAATGAAGTATACGTTCGGCATCCACCCCACTCCCGAGCTCTAAAGCCACGCTAACCGTATACCGTCTGAAAAAGTTCGTCATAGAGCTGTCTACGGTACCTGTAGTAAGAGAGTAAGTATGCGAATTCTCAATACCAGCTCCACTTCTGTACTTTCAGGACAGAACCCAGATAGATATGGCTGGGCAGCAATGAAGTGAGAACAAAGAAGAAAGGAGAAATAGACGCGAATTCCTACTCTCGCAGAAATATGTTAAAGCTTGTTTTTTGTTACATGTCTCCATCTTTAGATTAATGTCCCTACGACTTGCGATGGAAAAGCGTGATGGTTGCCACATTCTCTCCGTTCCTGAACTTTGTCTCCATTCAGAAAAATCAACAAAAGACTCAGTAGAAATGCCAAGAGGGACTAGTGAGGTTGCGGTCATGTGTCAACTCAGACGGACGCAAATTCACTGACCGGCGTAGCTACCTCTTGGGTGTTCTTCTTACGGCATCAACTATGTTGTGATGACAGATGCGGAGGTCGACCAAGGGATTCGACGGAACAACGCACGAAAGAGGAGCAGGACTATATAATACACTGGTTGTTTGTTCAACCCTCGGTTTTGGCAAAGAGGCCACTTAGGGAATTTGCTAATGTACCTCCGTCAGGTGGCTTGGTCTTCGGACCATTCCAGTAGCCCCAAGCCCTTCATTCACCTTTAGGGAAGTCCCGGGGAGCTACGCAACAACTGGAAATAGTAAGAGTGACGATACAAATGAGGCAGGAATTTTTTTTGTTTATTTACCCTCCCACAGCTTACGTGGATCTACTAGGAAAGTTAACTCGTTCACTACAGTATAAATATGTATATGTATTTATGCATTTGTGTACGTAGAATAGTGTAAGATCATCACTTTTCTTCTTCATCCTCATCATAAAATAAATATTGCACGGAAGAGAGCCGAGGATAACGAGAGAGATAGAGAGAGCAAGAAAGAAGGAAAGAAAAAAGGGCAGGAGGCCAGCAATTGCTTGCTTACTCGAGTAAGGGCATGTGTGTGTGTGCGTGGATATTTGTGTGTGGAGCGAGGAGTCAAAATAATAGGGGATTCGGTAGGGTTGGATCTATTTCTTCCCACCCGTTGCCTTTTTCAACGTGGGAGTGGCGGATGTGCTGGCGGTGGTGGCATTCTTCACCGTGGAAGGAGCACTGGTCGAATCCTCGGCAGCTTTGATAAAGGCAGCCACACAGTCCTTCGGATTGGCTAATGCCTGAGCTGGTGGCAGTCGCTCGTTGATCTTGTCTATTGCCTTGGCCTCAGCAAACGAACTGATTTTAGCGTGGGGTGCCAGTGCGGCTGCATAATGTAGAAACATACAGTGTCTTCATGCATTCCTTCAGATGCTATCAAGGGCATGATTGTCAAGCTTAATTCACACCTCTCATATGAAGGAGGAAGCTCTAAAACCTATGGAACTATTCAAGAGCTGAATAACGACTAAATTTGCCTAACCCGAGCTTCTAATTTACTGTGCAATCTTGCGAAATTCTTTTAGAAATCTATAGACAACGGTTACAAATGTAGAAGTGTAACTCCTGGAGGTACTAATGACGAAGCTTGGAGAATTTGATGTTTGCTTTAAACTTACTTAAGCTCATGTGTGTATGGAGCTCATAATAGCAGCCTGTTCTTCTGTTGAAGAGGATGATAATGTGATGGAAAGATACTTCTCAGTCTCTCGTGGATCAGCTTCGACGTGGACGAGACTTATAGTCCGACCAACTACAGGCTTAGGCCCTACAGAGGCAGCTTTATTGCTACAGACAAGTGTGCATAAGTAACGCTTTTCCATTGCTATTCCCTTACTCCTGGGTAAGGTAAAAGTCTTAAAATCCTCCCACCTAGCGTAAGTAGCCCTGCAGACAACACGATTAATTTTGTCCGGTCAGAATTCGATAGTACATTCCCGCCTTCGAGAGGCGCGTACATTCGAGGCACCAAATAAGCAAGAAAATTTGCAAGAATTTGCGTAATTACGAACAAACTTCTCGCCTAATACATATGCACTGCAGCATCACTAGAATCGCCAACAAAACAGGGCAGAGGTTTTTAGGCCATATGGGTCAGCGACACCATTTGAAAAGGTCCGAGGAGGGCAGTTCTGTCATAACAAAAGAGGCAAACTTTTTTAAATTAAGCAATGCTTATACTGCCTGATATATATATTGTGCACTTCATGTAATTCTCTTGGATGTAATGCCTTTAAAGCGCTCCTAACAAACGCCCTATTAGCGTCACGTATATGTGACGCCCATCTTTCGTGCCCAAGGTATGTTTCCTTTTTTAGTATACCCCAAATCGTTTTACAGCGAGGTCGATTGAGTTTAAAACGACATAAAGTAATGTAAGAACAATTGCTTTTTTAGTTCTTAGCAAAAAAACTTTAAACAGAGCATATAATTTGTAGTCGGCGGTGGTTAAGCTTCCGTAGGCTAAAACGAATCAAGAAGTAAGCTATCATCTACTAAATCAGAGCTGCCATGCCGCAACGAGACTTGATAAATGGAATTTGTGCTTATCTCTCAGGAAGCCGAATATAGTCCGCTTACCCAAT